AGGCAAAAGATGAGAGAAGACGCTGCAATTCTGTCAGACTGAAAGTAGCTGAGCATGAACCAGCTTGCCCAGGACAGCGAAGAATGCTGATGCTGTCGCGAGCTTTGATGGAACGACAGAAGTCTTCGAAGCAGTCAGCACAGAAGGAGTGCTGGCAACTCGTCATCAAAAGCGCCTCTGCGTCATTGTGGCAGAGCCCACAGGGAGGGCGATCCCCATTGGCTTGAGATCCCTTGTCTAATACCAAAGACTCTCGTTGTTGTGATTGCGGACCATCGGCAAGAGTACGCAGTGCGGATCGACATTTGTCAACCTTTGAATTCGTGCCGTACAATCTGACCTCCTTCGATATCGGGAATCGTCGAATAGCTACCCCAGTGCGGCATTCAAGGTTCTTGATGTCCTGGTGCTGAAGACCAAGAACTCTTTCCCGAATGATAGAGTCATCGTCCCCCATGCCTAGAGCATGCCCTTCAAGAATCGTATCAATTCTCTCCTTGGTCTCGGCCATCAATTCCTGACCTTTGCTGCTCAGAATCAAAACTAGAAACTCCTCTTCTTCTGGATGACTGCAAGGAGAGTGAACGTCAAACTGGACGCCGTTCTTGTCGGATGAGAAGGAACGTTGCATCGACTGGAAATCTTCCCATACAGCTCCAAGCACTTTCTGAGACAATCGGTAAGTGGCAGTGTAAAGATTGACCAAATCAAACTTGTCTGCCGAGGTGAAGCTCTTTCCGCTGTCGTCGTATGGCGGCATGAACCAGCAAAGCCACGCAATTGCTTGTCTTGCGTCTGCTTCATTCTTGAACCTGACTGCGCCTTCATATCTTCCTGTCGTCTTGAGAAGCTTCGAGGTAAGCTCCGTTTCCAGGGTTCCAAATCTCTTCAAGCTGGATTCAAGCCATCCCCTTGCGGAAGGGTCGTCTGTCAAATCAATTTTCGTGTCTTCCATTTCAAGGTCGTCTGGCAACTTGTCGTGAGGCACGCTTTTCAGGACGTCTTGAGCAGAAGCCTCCACTGGCACCAAGAGTCGAACAATGTACATGTCCGGCATTCGGTGTAGTGTCATCGGCGGGACAAGAGGAATGCCGAAGTGGGGGGATCCCATAGATACCTTTTCTCCCAAGACTTTGTAGTTGCCTTCATTGAACCGCTTGGCACAGTCGATGGCAGGGGATCTCGTGCGGAACCTGAGTTGAACGTTTCGCATAGGCCTTGGCCAATTGACAATAACCGTTCGGCTGCTGATATGATGCGAAAAGCCGCCGGGCTCCCTTGGACCTCGAGGATTCCAGGCAAACACGATCAACTTCGAGAGATCAATATCTTTCATATCGGGCCGATCGTCCGCGTGTAGTTTGTCAAGGATCATTTTAAGCAGCTCTGGGTTGTCCGTGTGGACGACTGCAAAACTTGACATCTCATGTGTGTATCTATGAGCGTCGTCGGAGGCTGTCTGAATGCGATTTGCCGGTATGTGAATGTCGAAACGGCTGAGAAGTTCGGACACGAACTCCGGTGTGCTCTTCGGCGGGAGACGTCTGATCTTCACTGCAAGTAGTTCTTGCTGGATAACAACTTTCATCACTGCTGCTCCCGGCCCAAATGTCACCCAAGCGCCGGGGACTTCTCGTGTGATCTCGATCTCGGTTGCATTTACCTGTTTCGGATTAGCCATCCAGTTCTTGATACATGGCTGGGACTAAGTATGACTTGCCTTTGATTCCCTTAGATCAGAACCTGTGAGCCTAGTGTCTCGATCGGCATCTTTTGCGTGCGACAGTGGACAATTATTGCCCCCCAAACAGTTTCCTCTTGCATTAGATGCACAGGGAATATCCTTGAGAGGGCTTCTTAGATTTTGACCCCTTTCCATATTGGAAGTTGCAGACGATTGAGACTTCGGCTGATTTGGAGCCGCCTCAACCTTCGGATTGGGTTTGGGAGTTCTTCCCACTTTGCTCATCGTGGGTTTTTGCGACTTTGGCTTCTTCTTGACGACTTGCGCCTTTGTAGTGACGGGAACAAACGGCTTTGACTGAGGAATGAGTCGAGACTTATTCCCTAAGTTTTCCTCGCGCAACGAAGCATCAGGAGCACATTTCACGTCGATCTTGCTGTTGATCGAAGTCGCTAGGAGTGCAGAAGGGACCGTTTTAGCGTTCAAACGACTATTTCTTCCCAAATTGTCCACGCGATGGGGAACATTAGGAACATATTCCAAATTAATTCCATCGCCTGACACGACGTAGGGAGGTGCTTTCTTGTCACAGACTTTGCAGGGAAACTCCAAAGGGTCTGCCTGAGCCTCCCGGCATAGTTGTATGCAGTTGCTGGAGGAACAGTAGGTCAACTCTCCGCGGTGATGCCATCTGAAAGAATAGAAGGAAGAGATGAGGAGACTTTCGAAAGTGAATGAGGACAGCAGCTGTTGCAGTTGCTTGACCTGGAACAAGGAACCACAGGCGCCCCCTTCAGCCGGACAAGCTATAACGCCGTTATTGATGTTATGATAGTCCGATAGACAGTAGCTCTCGAAGCAGTCGAGGCAATAGACATGTCCAGAATTCGGCGATATGGGATCTCGTGCTTTTCTCAGGCACATCGAACAGCGACCAGCCCTATCCTTCGCGGTCTGGGACACACTCTTTCGCTGTGACAACATGGTTTTGGCCGTTTCGTGAAGATGTGACGGTCCAAGAATTTCGATAGTCTTTGGTGTCGAAAGCGTGTTGAATCTGATAGATTCATGCCCAAGGGCATTTGATATCGCCTCAAATCCACCAGTCAGAATCCAGGCCAGACTCTGATCATCGAGTTCAATCGATCTGACTGATGGATGATTCAAGGGCACTCCCACATCTTTCCATGCCTTCTGAGCGCCCTGAACCTTTTCAGGGCTTCCGTATATCCGCACGGTCTTTTTCGATGGAACACACTGAAAGACTACTCCGTACTTCTGCTCTAGGGGACTCATGAGCTGGGGGGCAGCAGCCGTGTTCCCTAGGAACGGATTCCAGACCGCCTGACCGATTGGCGACTTCAAGATCTCGCCTTTCAAGACCCTATCGAGGAATCTTTTGACAGAAGAATAAGCGGGGCTGTCAAGACTGCGCAAAGTAAGAATGATGAAGTGGTTTGTCGATGGATAGTACGCAAAGTCAACACGTCGACTCTCGTGGGAAAAGGCATTTTGGACGGCCTTCACTGTCTCCCAAACAGCAGAGAACACTCTAGCGCTCACTCTATAGGTCGCAGAGTACATCTTGCTGGTGTCGTGATAACCTGGTAGGTCGGGCGTATGATTGAGCTGGCGCCGACGGTCATCATTTGCCATAGAGCCTGTGCCAGGGCAGACTAAGACGTCGAAATCTCTCAGTAGAATACCTCTGATTGCGGGATAGTTGACTTGATGAATCTTTTCCATGAGATCGGTAGCGGAGTCGATGTCTGGCTGGAGCTCATAGGCTTTCATAATGTCGACAGTGATTGACTTCGATCCCTGGGTGGATGGGAAGGCATCAGTCCAGTGCTGATCTGATGGCAAAACCATTCCCTCCACGACCGCACCCTGGCCAAAGGTGACTCTAGCCAAGGGGAACTCGCGAATCATGGTCTTCTTTTTAGTAGTACTCTTGACGCGCGTTAGAAAGGTCAAAAGCGCGTCAGAGAACGGCACCACTCACGATAGCGATCTTGGGGGCGACAATGAGATCATCGCGGACCGTGTGCGACAACGGGCATTCAGTGCCGACCTCACACTTTCCCAGAGTATAGGCGCCGCACGCGACTTTATCGAGGCCGCCTACAACAGTTGATTTGGCGGTGCCTTCTCCAGCTTCGGGGGCCTGTTCGTGACGAAAGATGCATCGATCGCCTCGAAAGCGCCACTCTTGTTTTGTATGGTCGTAAGGGTTGGGCACAGGGTCACAAGGCACGGCATCATCGTGCTCATTGTAGTGCCAAGGTTTGGGTTTTCGAATAAACATGATAAAACGAGCTAGTAGAGTCCTCTAATCCAGTTCTGGTTGAGTGCCAGATATAGACAGGCGGTTTGATTAATTGATGATGGACCTAATGCTGTGTAGGGCAGGGATAGTAGCAGAGAGCTTCCACTCGCTCCTGGGGACAGCTAGTCCAAGTTCCTGTTCACGTGTCATAGTGACGAACAAGGGCAAAGAAACCCTTCTTGATTGACATTTCTTTTTCTGCGCATGTGCATATCGCTTATGCTTGCATTGACGTTGGAGGCCGACCATTCTGGAGCATTCAGATATCGAGATCAGGCCGTTGGTCGTGTACCCCAAACCGATGTAACAGTACCTAGTTCATCGTACTGCTTGGCGTTTTGAAAGGACTCAGTGGTTAAGTTTGTAACAGTTAATTCGAAGGTACGCAACGCGCTGGTCGAGTCGACTACAGCATGAACATGTACATTCTTAACGACGTCCCCTTGTCATGAGCATTTCAAGGAGGCGAGAGAAGGTCACAATGCGTCGAAACTAAAGCCATGCAGAAACCGGCGAGGATCGCTGCGACGACTGTTATCTCAAGCAGCTAGTATCAGAGGCTAATGTCGATCGCAGCTAAGGTTATCGCAAGCGCCAATGTCCTTGACCATTACAGGTCCAACGCGCCTCCTCGTCTTTGCCGTCTCCCAACGCTCAAAGAGGAGATTGGCCAGTATGACGTCGCCGCTATGTTCTTGCGTGGACAGCGTTTGCCTGAACTTGTCAAGGATACCCAGTCAAAACTGATATATTAGCTAGCCTTTCCTGTCTAAGCTTCGACGGAGAACGACGACTATGGTAAGTGAACTACTGACGACGTGCGGGGAATGGGAAACAAAGATTGGTGCTCCAGCAGACTAATTAATGAGCAGCGTGCCTTGTGAGCGATAGATAAAAAAGCATTTATTGCTAATGTAATATAATTATTGCCTGCTTCATGTTTTCCGAAGGATTTCGAGCTTTTCTTTGCAAATATGAAGCTCGAAATCATAGTTCTTGTGAATCGTACGTCCCGTCGGAAGGTGGAGTTAGACCCCCAACAGCTTCGCAGCTACTATTATTCCGCGCCTTAATTCTCAAGGAACTGAGATCTGTTGAGTATGATGAAGAGCGTAGACTATGGCTTTGGACCCTTTCGTCTGCGTCGTTTCTGTCTATAGGAGACCAAGGCCGAATAGGTGCAAAGGCCCCTGTAAGAGCATCAGTCTCCATTGATGTGTTGGCTCCTTGTAGGTCTACGACATCCACAAGCCAAATGAATGAACCGTAAGCTGCAGACTGAGTGACGCTAACTTTGAAAGTTTCGGAAGGGCGTAATGAGTATATTTCATTCATAACAGCCTCTGCCGCCAGAGGCCGGTTAGACGTCATGTATGGGACGTCTTCCGTGGCAGAGGGCGACGGCAGAAATGCGGTGTAAGCTCTCGGTCCAGCAACCACAAGTGCAAGACTCGGCGGTGATTTCCCCTCAAGCTTGATTAAATTCCAGTGTCCTTGGTCTGTTGGGATGATGTTTGGCAGTTTGTGGGGTCCTGGGTTGAGAATGTTCGACGTGCTATAGTAGTGGGAGGCAAGACTGTATCCGTGAGGTAGAGTTCGAATGATGCAGCCATTCTCATTCTTGCCGCTCATACTTTCCTTGTCGAAGTTGCTCTGAAAGTGTATCAAAGGCTTGCACAAATTCTCCGGCATCCACACACTCCTGGGAGCATAAAAGATTGCATGGGAAACCCGATAGCACGAGAAGGACACGTGATTATCAAAAACCGACTTTTTAATCGTGGCCTTGCAAAGAGGTATTGCAATGCAATTGAAGTGATCGCTCTTTCGTCGACATTTCAAAGGCGCCAGCAAGATCTCCATGCCCTTTTGCGTGTGCTCAGGCATACACGCTGCCCCATAGGGTAGAGTCTTATCACCATCCAGGCTCCGCGGAAATTGGTGTGGTTGTTGGTGTGGTCTTGGGAGCGATAGTTCCTGCATGAGGGGAGTTGTAATTGTGACTCCAATGCCAGCATGCAACGTAAGCATTGCTTCGTCGGCTGTGAAGAACGGCACAATGTCTCCTGATTCCCTGAACCAGGACGGATGTCCAGCAATGAGGGGTGATGTCCATCTCGAGAGGGTCGTTGCCGGCACGCCGGCTTGCTTGTAACCCCATGCGAAAATGGATGGATCATCAATTTCGTAGAGTATAGCCTGCTGGAGTCGCCTGAAGGCTTTGTCGCCTTCTCCGTAGATCAGCGGCATGTTGATGCCGAAGATGCCGAGCAAACAGTAGGCAATATCTTCTGGACGGGTAGTTCTTCTCTTAGAAGCCCAAGACATTCGCTCCGCCACGCTCGCCGTCGCCAGACGCACAGTGTGATTATCTCCTCCACCAATGAAGCTTCGCCCAATGCCAGTCACCCGGGAAATTAAGTCTCGAAATTCTGAACGAGATCCCAGGAGTTTCCAGTCCGATGAGTAAAAGTCGAGGTTCCTGGGCGCTAGGAGCTCCTGCAGAGTCCATCCACGTGTGAACCAGCGACTTTTGGGAATGTCCTTGGGTATATCCGTCTTTGAATCCGGATACATGATGTCTGAAAGGTAGGCTATGCATATGACTGCCTTTTGGTAAAACTTGAACATCGAGTTGATCGCCTCGGATAACTCGGCGCTGCTGGACTTATCGATACAGCACGTATCGATCCAAATCCAAGTATGCCCCAAATTCCGTGCCAAGTTACAAGAGCTCCGGACCTTGGACCATCCTGCTTTTGGGATGGCTGGGTTGCTGACATCGGCGAAGAGAACCTCTTCATCTCCCCACGTGTGTGAAAGGATCGCGTATGGGGGAGCCTTCCCGACGAAGTCGGCGAGCCGAAGTGTCGTTGTATTTAGCAGTCGCATGTTGAGCGATTCAATCCGCGTCGCTTTGTATTTGTGCTTTCTGAGGCGCGAGAGAATGTAGATGGGAAGTTGAGCACTGCACTTGACGAGGCTGCGGCATTATCAAAGGTGGGGGCGGTTGCTTTACCAAACCCCCCGTAAGCGCCGAGAAATCTGGCTGCGTATGATTACTAGGGTATATGTGATGTCAGCAAATCGGTGCGCCAAGTGAAGTTAATGGACGTTTATATCTTCTGGCGTCCAGTGTGCGTCGCTTGTCGCTGAGCATGCTGTCCAGTTGTCTAAAGCTGTACAAAAGAGTACCGTGATAATGCGACTTCACTGCAAACGCTCACATAAAGATGCAAAAGCCTCTGGTGCTTGTCATCGATCCCGAGCTGCAGTGACTCAACAGTATCAAAGATGAGACTGATTCGTAGATAACAGCCTGTTCTGAGAAGGGATATTAAGATCATGCTCATCCTCATAACGCACATTGAAGTCACGACAACCCCAGCAGGAGCGACGGTCGAAGCTCCAGCCACCTGACGCCCCAAGCTCCCTCCCACCTTCCCGCGCACCCCACAACCTTAAGCCCACCCAGCCGGCACGCACAGACCAGTCCAGCACCCAAGCACCCGGCACTAGCACCAACATGGCCCCCCGCGGGCCGCCGCTCCTCCTCCTGGGCTGACCCGCCAGCCAGGCAATGACATCAACACGAGACCTCCGAAAAAAATTGGCCATCTTAGACACGGGCGGCGCGCCACCATACTTTGCCAGCTAAACCGTGTCACGAGCAGGTCTAAAATTCCTTCATCCCAAGAATCTGACATTCTTTCACCACATCTTCCCCAGATCAGCAATCTCTCCATTTTACAAAAAGGCCCACCTGCTCCACAACCTCAGTCCTAACCCTCACTCCCCCTTCCAACCAAAAAACCTCATCAACAACAACCATGACAATCCCAACCCCATACTACCACCTCTTCACCCTCCTCGACCCTCTAATCGCCCTCTGGGGCACCTCCCTCTTCCTCTTCTCCCCCAAAACCGTAACATCCTCCTACCTGCCCCCCTCCCACAACCCAATCGACCCCTCCATCGCCCACCCGGCCGCCGCCCTCTCCATCTCCACGCCCTCCCTCGCCGCCTCGCTGCGCGAGTACTCCCTGCCCCTGCACGCCCAGATCGCGGGCCACCTCCTCTCCAACGCGCTCCTCTCCGCCGTCCTCCTCCGCGCGACGTCCGACCTGAAAGTGTGGCGCGTCTACCAGCTCTCGCTCTTCCTCGTCGACGCGTTCCTGCTGTACGGCACGTTTGCGTCGTATGCGCTGCAGGGCAGGCTGAACCCGTTCACGACATGGCGGGTGGAGGATTGGGGCGCGGTGGCCATCACGATGCTGGCTGGCGCGACGAGGCTTGCCTTCCTGGTGGGGGTGGGATTTCCGAAGCAGCAGAGGGCCAAGAGGGCGTGATCTGATGCGCAATACAAAGAATCAAGACACATGCACAAGAATTAGCGGTGACAGCGTTGGGTGCTTTTATTGAGAGTCAAATGAACAGGGTATCACCTTATCCAGTCTATCCTCGGCCATACCAGCCGTCACTCCCAATGATTCCAAACATGATACCCAAATATGTGATCCGTAGCTCAAGTCAAACTCGCAGCTATGGCAAAGCCCTTCTCTATGCAAACCGACAATGAAAAACCTCTAGACCAGCCACATCGTACAAACATCTCTCATAAATCATCATGGAAGTTTGATTCCCTAGACGCAATCCCAATTATCGAAGACCAAATACGCCCTTCTCCACAATGAACCGAACCGGCTTCCTTGCCCGACGGCGGATGCTCAGCGCGTGTGGTCGTCCTCCAAGGCCGACATGGTTCGTCGTCGGCTTCGGGCTTGGCAGCGGGAGCGGAACTTGACCGGGAGACAAGCCGTTGCCGCCACGCTCGTCAAATCCCCACCTCATCACGCCTCCGCTGCGGATCCAGTGTTCGAGGTTCCTGCACTGACTGACATCAACCCATTGTATCCTGCTGCAGCCCTCGAGTAGGTTTTCTACGCCGGCACCGGTGACGCGGACGCAGCCACGGACGGAGATACCCTCGAGCTCGTTGAGATGAAGAGCTACAGACTGTAGACTGGCATCGGAGACGGCGCTGCCGCAAAAGGCGAGGCGAAGCTCGCGGAGATTCGGGAGACCAAGAGCCACAACTTCTGTGGCGGTGTCTGAAAGTGCACAGCAGAAGGAAAGGTCCAGGTGTGTAAGGTTCTTGGCAGCGCCAACCAGAGCGACAATGGCGTTGTCGGAGAGATAGGTGCAGTCGGCCAAGCACAAATGCGACAGGTTCAGGAACCGGAAGGGTGCCCATGACTGAAAACCGGCGTCCGTAATGGATGTGCACCGTGTAAGCGAAAGAGACTCTATGCGGTTGGATGCATGAGCCGCCATGTGTGCCATTGACCTATCAGTGATGTGCTTGCAATATGATAGGTTGAGATGCTTCAATTTGGGGCAGCCAATTATCGTCCCTGGCTTCGGGATGTTGGCTGGCCGTGGCGCTTGTTGGGCCGCGACGGCCTTCGGAGGCTTCGCCTTTGCGTTGGAGCTGGAGATGACGACCTGTTTGCTGGCCGGCGGCGGTGGTGGGGGCTCGGGAACAACCCAGCCAACGACACGCGCAAGTAGGTTGTCGCCAACTTTGCGGCAGTTACTCCAATCAACCTCCTCGAGGTCCTTTGCATTTTCGGCCATGTCCAGGATCTGGTTAGCAGAGACATCCCAAACGGACCGCATTCTCCAGCGCTTCACGTTACGGCCGCAACTCTCCCAGAGACAACGGAACCCATCGTCGGTAATATGGAAGCAGTTGCTAATGTCAATGGTCTCGGGCCGTGTTCCGACAAAGGGGCCGATCGAGGTTTTGATGGCCAAATCGGTGACTCGTCTGTTGTACTCTGATAAATCCAAGTCCAAGCACACCTCGGGATGTGTTGTGAGGAGCTTGCGCCAATGACTAGAGATGAGGCGTGCACGCATGAGCTCGGCGATGTCCAAAAACCGGAAAACAGCGACGAGCATGTCGTCGGGTAGCGCAGGGGTTTGCACCGGATGCGGTCGCCGAGGCAGCGTTCGAGCTCGCTTAACAGGCACCTGGACCTCCGAGTCGGGAGGTGACTGGGGCACGGAGAAACGGAGGGGTGTTGAGTCGAGCTGGTGTACCCGGAAGCCGTTCACCCCTGTAGGCGACGACGTATCGGATTGCGGGGTAGGAGGGGCCAGGGAGTTGCGTCGCCTATTCCGCATATTCTCCATGTCTACGCTCAGAAACGGATCGGGGTCCTTCGGCTCCATTGTGTCGTCGTCTTTTGTAGGAGATGCCGGTTTGGATGGGGTTGTAAAGGCGATGTGGGGAAGAGCCTTTGGCGTCGTCGGTGTAGGAGGGTCTGACTTGCTGGTCCTTTCTCTGGGGTCCGCGTCCGCCATCTCAACATCATCGTCCGACTTTTTGTATCTCTTCCGTGCCGTCTCTTCCACCTGCGACTTGATATCCGGCGGGCATCGGCTCCATAGTTTGTCCAATGCATCCCCCGGGATCATTAAACATTCAACAGTCGTAATTGCCCTAACAGTGGCCGTGCGCCCCTCTGACAGACCAAGACTTGCCACCTCCCCAAAGTACTGGCCAGCTTTCAATCTCGGACGGATGTACGACGCCCGCGTTAGCTTCTTGAACGGTTCGTGGGGGCTAGGTGCCTCGTGTATGACTTCAGCCTCGCCACGAACGATGAAGAATATCTCATTGCCAGCGGAGCCTTGTTGGATGATATCCGTGAAAGGTGCATACGTCTTCGGCTGAGCGCTCAAGCCGAGGAAGTGCAGGATGTCTGGGGGTAATGTCGAGAAAAGCGGGAGCTCCTTCAGGGTTTTGCGTACGTTAACGAAACCGCTTCCGAGCGCGCTCCCGGCTGCAGGATCCTCAATGGCTCCTGGACTAGGCGACTTTCTCTTTTTCGAGTTGACGACCGTTCCCTCCTTGATTGTGCCAACTTCGCCCGTCGAAACTTCACCCGGCGCCGGCTCCCGCAGCCCGTTAATGTGCGAAGAGGGGCTTTTCAAAGGCTGGCCACCTTCTTGTCGTTTCTTCTTGAGAATGTTTAATCGTTCTTGGGCTTCCTGGCGAATTGCCTTTTCCATGTCGGGGAACTTTGGCAACTCAGCCTGGAGATCCTCCTTCTTAAGGACCACGAGAAGACATTTTGTCCTAGCAATGATGGTTGCAGTGCGGGGGATATTCATAAGCACTCCAATCTCACCAAAGAAGGCACCGGGTTTGAGTTCAGCATAGATGGCCTCACCATCTCGGGAAGTAACTGCAACAACACCTCGCACCAACCAGTACATTGCCCGAGCGTCATCGCCTTCTGTGAGAATGTGGTCCTGTGCTGCGTGAACCTGCGGTCGCATATGATTACCGATCGCCGCCAGAAACTCTTCTGGTGCGGAGACAAACAGAGGGAACGATCTGATGCGGTCGACCAGATCAAGCGGCATATCCCGGATGGTCGAGGCGGTCAATGGAGATGGGCGCATGGGCCGGGTAGGGTTCGAGTCTGAATTGAAGGACCTGAGAAGGGAAAGGGAGTCAGGCAGCCCGCCTGGACCAGCGGCACCAGCGCCATGAGCCAGAGCCCGGTAGGGCGATGGTGATGTCGGGGAGCGATTCCGCCTCATGGTCCGGGAGGGATGCCGCGTGCGTGGTCGTGTCGACGCCAGGTTTCCGGTGTGCCTTGCCGGCTAAGCTCTCCACCCCAGTGGCAGGGCAGAGGGCCAAAGCTTTTAACAGGGCTTCGCCAATGCACACCCAAGCTGTCGCCTGTGCTTCGCGAGGCGTTCGGAGGGAGAAGTCCTCCTTGCCCGTGTGCGGTGTCGTCGCTGGTTTGTAGTTGTTCTAGTTCACAGTCGTCGATTGGACCCTGGAAATGACGTTCGTTGCCGCTGCGGGACGGTTTGAAGTTGTGTTCAGCGAACGAGGGATGTCGATATTTACAGAAGGCGTCGTGATACCCGAGGAATTATGTACGTTTCGTTTGGGGCGTTTATTGTTTCTTCTCGCGGCGGTGGGGGAGCACACGTCGGGCGTGGCTTGCGGCGGGGCGTTTGGAAGCTCTAGATCTGAGGGTCGGGGATGTTGACGACACAGAGTGTCGCAGATCCTATCACACGAGACCGCTGCTCGGAGGGAGGATTGTTCGACAGCGATTGACTGAAAAGTCGGACTGACGACGTCTTCTTGGTGGCGGCAAAAGTACCACGAGCTCGTTGCATGGAGGCAGCGACGGAGGAGTCGTGGCCACTGGGCGTCGGATTCGCGGATAGCTTGTTGGAGCGGCGTGGTTCCGTCTGCGGAAAAGAGACCAGACACTGTTAGTTTGCGATGTCGTGAAGCAACCGGACGAGGCCATTCGGGGCTTACCAAAATGTATGGCGAAGAGCCAGAAGTCGTTTCTCGGTGTATGCTTCCTTGATCAATGGAGCAGAGCTGCCGTCGCGTGGGTTTCGGCTGGCCGCAATGAGCGGAAAAGGAATGGCGAAGGCGGTGGCACGAAAGCTGCTGGGGTGGCTGTCGCGGAGTCGGAGGCGACAAACAGAGGCGGCGGAAGCGGACGGTGTCGACCACAACGCAAGCCGTTTTCGAGGCGGTGGTGGACAAACAATTGGAGCTGGAGATAGTCCAGCGGCGATGGGACAGGGTGATGAAGAAGAAGGGAAGAAGCCGTGACGGAGGAAGAGGCGGTCGTGACTGGGAAGGGAACTGGCCTGGGGCGACGGGGACGAGGAAGGTGGTGGTTGTAGGGTAGTGGTGGTGGAGGAGGACTGCAGTGTGCTGGTGGTGGGACGTGAGCGCAGTGGGCGGGCGTGGACGTGGGCGTGGGCGTGGGACTCTGGACGTGGGACGGGGACGTGGGGAAAGATTCCTTCACGTTTCTCGCAAGCGCAGGGTGCAGGAGCAGGAGGCACTGGAAGTGCAAGTGCGGCAGGTGCAGTGCAGGTGCGTCGCAAGGGCAGGGACTAGTAAAGTTCCAGAAGAGGAGACCCAGCGACGCCTACCAGGTAGACAGCGAGAGCAGTACCGGGCAGGTACAGTCCAGAGTACCTACCTTACTACCTAACCCGGTACGGGAACTACCTGCCCAGCCTGCCTTCCATTGTTACTAAAAACTGAAGGAGCAATTGCCAGAGAAGCACGAACAGCCGCCAGAAACAGAAGCAGCGACGCAATGGATGTGGAGATGCCACCTGCCCTGCCCTGCATCGCTCTTGCCTTCAGTTGCCGTAGGCTAATCAAGTAGACAAGAGGTACCAGAAGGCGCGCAAAACAGACAGCAGGTACGAGAGCCTGCTAAGGAAACCGCCAGCGGGAGGCCCTGCAAGCTTGACAGCCCAAGGGTCACCTCCCTCCTGTCTCTCTTGCCCTTTCCCTTTTCCTTTTCCCACCCATACACCTTCCAACCTTCCAGCGTACCTACCACGCGCACTGCACCTGTGCCAGCACCACGACAATGACGCTTGGATAGTGGGGCTCGGCCGACGGGGAAGGTACCGACAACGTACCGGGCTACGGTGCACGGACACAGGGGAAGCCTGTCTCAGGGGTTGCGAGCGCGTCACTGGCAGGGAAAAGGGACCTGCGAGTGACTGAAAGCCAAAGCTTAAACTGCCAGCGAGGAGGGCGACTTGCCCTTGGGCTTCAAACCCCTCCTCTTCCTCAGCTTCGTGGTGGTGGTGGTAATGGCGGTGGTGGTGGCGGCCGGTGAGAGATGAAGTTCTCGATTCTGGTACCACCTTTGGTAGCGGCTACTAAACAAATCCTAAGGGCCGTAAAGTGTTTCTTCGTCGGCATCATGGAATCCAATCAGGGTAGCGGGGAGAAAGGAGCTTACCTATTCTTGCAAGTATTTTGCCTCTATTGTTTGGTAGTGTCTGTCTGCCTTTCACGTACGTACGTATTACCACATTTCCACGTCCCAAGCCCTGGATGCGTTCCCAGCCGGGGGCCCCCAGGACTTGCGAGGGACATGCGACAGACAAACTGCAACAACACCAACTCCATGCCGCGTAGGGAGTACAGCAGACTGGGTGGTGACAAACACATGGTACCGCTGCTGCTGCTGGTGGAGGGCAGGCGATGCACCTTCAAAGCTTGCCAGACGGTGACGCTCGTCGGCCGCCATCATTTGCGTAGCGAGCCAACCTTTACTTTGCTAGCCAGGAAGTCTACTGCGGTGCGAGGCTCCGGAGACGAGGAGACGATCGCGATGAACTGCGCACAAATGGTGGTATCCGCCGAGCATTTCATCCAGATTTCGAGGCTCAAGTCGGCCAGGTCACCAGACTTTCAGCCCAACCTCGTGAGACGTTAGTCTAGGGCTGGCTGATGGCGACAGCAACAGTAAGATGCGACTTGAATCTGCGCACTGCTCCGGTCGCCGGTGTGACGTGCGAGCATGAATAAGGTAGCGCAAGCTAGGCCACCAGGGCGTGTCCAGAACCGCCGCAACCTTCCCGTCTGCTGCTAGACTGGCCGCTGGACCCCTAGCTAGAGGCAGCTTGAGGAAGCTAATGGCAGGGTAGCCGGAGAAAAACAAATCAAACGGGTGATTAGCCGTCCGTTTCTTTGTTCTCTGCGGCTTCTGGACGCGGCTTCCATGCTGGCTTCCATTTCGACTTCGACTTCCATATCGAATTGTTCCAAACAGCTTCGATCGAGCCTTCGGTCTGGATCCAACCGCCTCTCTGTGCCAATGTCAACCTCCGCCACTCCGCCCGGCCGTATGGTATCAAAAGTTCAAAACTCACCTTTGACTTTGCTCCCACAGGTTCATCTGCTTCCCATCCCACGTCCCACATCTCAAATCGCACACTCATGCGATCTGCAGTGGTGGGCGGGCGACGACTGGAGCTTCTAGAAGCCTGCACACTGGCAGTGGCGCCCATTGCCGAGCGCTGCCGACTCTTGCCACAGCACATGGTAAACTCACATCGTCAGGGTGAGGGCAATGTAAAGACGTGGAAGCAGAGTCGAAGCCAGAATTGGACCGCAACCTTTTTCATCTGGTGGCCACCGGTTGGGCTTTGAGACGAAAGGCAAATCAAGTCGTGCGACCCTAGCGATTTGACCCAAGCAACGCTCGCATCATTTGGGCGTGATCTGTAGACGGCCGAGGGCGGACGAGACAGACTGGAAAGAAGAGGAGCGTGCAGCGGCGAATAACGAAAACGATGGCAACGGCGACAATCTGCGCATCTGTGAGCGTTTCGTACCAGAAAAAGATTCCCCCCATCTCCCCTGTGCCTGGGTACCTAGGTATTTGTCTCCCTCATCTCCCCAAGGCGCTTCAGGAACCAGCCATCAACCAGACTCCAGTCTGAGGTCACCTCTCCTCGTCTTTCCCAGGTAAGCCCAGCCCGCAGAGGCCGGGACCAGAAGCGCATGTGTGAGTGGAGCGCCATCTCACCGTGTGTCTCAGACTTGCAGGCTGGGGCCCCTGGCTCATCGGGGCCGAAAGAGCGAGCACGGGGCAGGAAACGATCCCGAAAGGCGACGGTCCATTGAAGCGGCCAGTCCACAGCGGATGGAGGAGAGGGTGCACCCGGCTAACCATGTCGCTGCTGGCGATGAAGCTGGGGGATGGTGGCCCAGGGGAGGGGCAAGGCACCGGCTGATGGGAGGGAGGGATGCGTGGAAGGGCCGTGGAAGGGCCATGGAAGGGCCATGGAAGCCCTCTAGAAGGCGGAAGGAATTGGAAAGACGAAGGAATAGCTGTGCCGCCCATCGCTGCAGCCCGCTGACCTAAAGCGTTCGATGGGCGAATTGAGTTGACGAAGGGCAACCCATTCCCTACACCTCAGGTAGGTAGCTTTCGAAACCACATGCAAGGAAGAGTTCGCGGCATCGAGATTTCGGTAGTTGGCCAAAGAGGGAAAGTTGCAAATTGCGTCTTGTTTTGCATTGCAGTCCGGCAATTGCCATGTGGTCTCATGGGAAGGGCCTGCCTTTTTTGCAGATTGCCGGCGAGGACAAGGACAATGAAGGAAGATCCAATGGAAGGGGCGTTGGATGGTGGGTTGCTCGCGACTGCCACATGGCCACGCGATCCTTCCCAATGATAAGTTGCCTCCAATGGGTAAGAAGAGAAGGCAGGCGCACACCCATCCATTACTATTACTGCCTTCCCAGGATAAGGTACTTTGGATATGGCGAGAGAAGGAGAGATACGGTACGTAGCATGAAGAGGAAGGAAGTAAATGACTGTACTAAGGATAGCAGAAAGCAGCCACGCACCGTTGAACCTTCCACTGGGCGACACGCTGCCTTCCATCCCACGCCTCAATCTGCGCTGGTGCGGGTCTTGGCAAAACGCTCTTGCCCCGGCCGTTGTCAGGTTCTTTCTTTGTTCTTTCCTCCCGTCAACGTCTGCAGCCGCACCCGCGCCGCTGATGCACCTGCCCACCCGTATCCTCGGGCTGCGTTTTCTTTTCTTTTTGTCTCGTCTTTTCTTTCTTTGCTTCCTTTTTTTTTCCTGTCAGAAGCGCGTCCCCTACACCCACACACACGAAAACCATACCCACACGCCCCGGCTCGAATTGGTCTTCCAACATCACGGCCGGCCCGAAAAGCCAAACGTTGAGGCCCCGAAGGCTTTGACGAGCTTCGTATTCCCCAAGTCCGACTGTTTCGCTTCCGGTCTGCCAATAATCGACCTCGGTTTGCTTTTGGACCCAACCTAAGGTCTTCGACATGATTCATCTCTCGTCGCTTGCCCTCATACATCAGCCAATGTAACACCGTAGCCACGCGGCTCTATGGCCACACTTTCAGAGTGGACGAACTTGAGGCAGCGATCAAGTCGCTGGAATCTGTTCTCAGCCCAATGGTCGGATCACCTGCTGCTCCCAGAGACGCAAACACCACAAAGAATCTTTACTTAGACTTCTACGTGGTGAAACACATCTCCCATGCCCTTGGAACGCGACCAGGAACACCTTTTGGGCACCAACTGCAGTAGAATCATGAACGACGGACGCAGCTTCCAACCACACGCGACTGCTCGCATAAACCGACGGGACACTTTGGGCAACATGCACCCTTTTCCTCGTGGCGGCATAACTGACCGTCGGTCACCGGTCGAACACCGCAATCCGATAATTCCACCGCGGACCGGTGCAGCTCTCACACACGCCACCCATCTCCCGCAATCTAACCGCGTCGCGATTTTTTATCCTTTCCACCACGTGTCGACCAGATTCTAACATCCTTCTAGAAGCCGCACAGAACACTTCACAAGACTTCACAATCGACGCTTCGCTCAGGGTCGCACCATGCACTGTCCCTGACCGCTGTCGCTTTCGTTTCCCTATAGGTGCCTAGCCCTAACAATAGTGCCGGCCGTCAACCAGACACTACCAAGTGCACGCTGGCTTTTGAGCCCTCGGGCATGGGACTTGATCGATCATTCTAGCTCCAGTATCATGAACCCCGCAGCTGCCATGGGAGCCAGTAACGAGAGCAAGCTTTCATGAATGGGGCATCCCTGACCTTCACGTGCCGGCTACGATGTCGAATCGCAGCAATCCTGACCGCACTCGCACGTTGACCTCAATCTCATCGACATATCGGCGGTGCAGTGTTTCAAGATTCGGTTTGCGCGGCCCATGCTCCCTTCCCGTACTCGGTACCCGCTCAATCCGACGAAGTTAGAGCTGAAGCGCATATTATTGAGGACACTTTTTGGTACATCAACATTCGTCTGCAATGTTCTGGCCGGGCTGTCGCGCTGATCAGCCCAGCACCGACCTGTTCCATCGATGTTCCCAGTACGGACCGGCTGACACCTGGCACACGAGCCTTTGAGGAAGACTTTTTGGTGACAAACTCGTCGTGGATTCGTCCGCCACGTCCCATTGTCATCTCTACATCTTCATCTTCGACAGTGTTTTTTGAGACCAGCAAACTCAAGGTCCAGGAAGCGTGCCGGCTTTGCTGCCCGGGCAGCTAGGCCTTCTGCTCGGTCGGAGAGGCTGGCTGGACTGAAGCCCCCGATGAGCTGGCGCTTTTCTATGGTTAGCTTTCGACTGTGAGGTTGTAGCCAGTTTCACCATCAGTACGATTACGAGCTTGAGAAAAACCACCTTCTCCCACGAAGGTTCACTTGCAACTGGGAAAATTGCGTGACAACCAATTGTTGCACGTGTTGAATTAGAGACTAATAAACTGGCAGCTGCTCGACATCCCCACCTCAATTTTACCGTCAGCTTGGTTTGACGATTATCTTCAATAGCCGCGGCAACGTGCCGCCATGTTTGCACCAACGAACTGCAGGCCCGGGTATGCTTGAACCCCTATGGTGCTGGCTGTTGATGCACAGCAAAGTTATCTTCCGTCATGGTTTGGCCTCTCTTGCTTCTCTCTGCAACCTCACGCGACCGGCTAGGCTGTGGTCCAAAAGGGGCAGTTGTTTCGACACGTCCGTCGCGGTATACGCGCATCCCACGGGCGCGAATCCTTGAGCCCGTTGTCGGTCTCTAGTCATGGCCCGCCGGAGGGTTAGTTACACCCTGGACCACCTCTGCCAGTGGCTTGCCCGAGGTTGCATTGCCGACACCGCGATAACATCCAGTCGGATGATTCGTTGTGTCTCGACGCGACGGCTGGGGCCCACAATGACGAGGTCGTCTTCCGGACCGAATCTCCACGGCGATGGTCCCCGTCGATAACCAGGGTCGTAGACCGGTGCACCGGCCCAAGCCCCACCCGATAGTCCGATGTGGATACCAGGGGCCGGAGTGGTGATCGTCGCCGGGAAAGTGTTCCAGGGCTCCATTTCAGATGCCACAGAGACCTTGTGTGCAGTCAAGACCCTTCCCAGTATTGCAGCAGATGGAGCCGTTGGCGCAGAAGCACGCTCGGCCATCCTTTGGCATTTCCTGCTCATTGAAAATCGCCTTGAGCGAGGCAGCGAGTTCCTCCGAGTCGATCGCGGAAGCTTGCGCTTTGCTGGCTGATGGCTTTGTCGGCACTGAGGTAGCGGCAGCTTCGACCGCAGAGCTTCCACTGCCTTCGACGGCGATGGGGTGTTGTTCAGTATCCACGGGCATGGCCAGAGCAGTGACCGCCAGCATGGCGACAGAGATGGGAGCTGTGACCTTCATGTTGATGGTTGTGGTGTGTTGTTGTCGGAGGAGGGTATGTTGCAGAGTGTGTGCTAATGTTGGATACAGAGGCACAGGTTGTGATTTATGTCTGAGATTGTTGCGATGAATCGTAATGAGAGCAGTTGCGACAGGCCGAAGTGTTATAGACTTGCGAGCGAACGGTCGTCCGGACGAAGAGCCGGACTTGGTCGAGTTCTTGAACGAATTTGACTTGCATGCAGCAAAGGATGGCCAAGGACCTAACGAGCGCCGTTGGGGGTTGGCGGGAACCACCAGGGGCCACCTAAACAGCCACAAACCGAAGCGTGAAACGAGTGCTGCACACAAAGACGGGAAGGAAAAAGAAAGGTCGGTTGGTGCAGGCGGCTTTTCTACTTCTGGTTCTTGGGTCGTCGAAGGAGGATCTTATGTTCAATTAATATGCACTCCTACGGCTATGGATAGACAGCACGCGAGCGACCAACGCGCCCCCTCTCCCGACGATCCTGGTATATTGCCATCCACAACACGGGGTCCGAATCAGGAATCAAGGAAGAAAGGGATTCTGCAGGACTGGTCTTACTGATGATGTTACGTCGCATCCGGCGCGAAAAAATAAGAAAAGCAGCAGGCGACGCAGAGCAAAAACATCCGAAGCCTGAGAAAACGAGACGACAGGTGTTGGGGGTGGGAGGGGGCCCGGCTCGGTCGTTCGTTTGATGCTGCGACCCGTGCGGGGCGGAGGCGCGATAATGGGGCCGTTAAACCACCCCCAAGGGAAGGTAGCTCGGGCGCTACCTAAGCTTACACTTTGGAGATTCATGCAGGTTCACTGTCCGATGGCCCTTTCGTTGCAGCGCTGTTGGCGCTATTGGAAGATCATTGAGCGGGCATGACAGAGAGAGGCACAGAGGGCGGAGTTGGGGGTTGGGGGGGGACAGCCCCGATGCAGAACAGGGCCTTGTTGGTGCTGTGCAGATCAGCCCCGGCAAGGTCCAAGGCACAATTCGACAGTGGTTCGAGTCAGGTCTGCGGAGAGAGTGAAGTCATTGTGGTTTTCCCCGCGGACAAAAAGTGCGATGGGAATTGATGCAGAGGAAGTTGGACGTCAGACCTAGCGAAGTGTGGTTCCAAGTCTCAAACTCGAAAGATTTGCGTTGGAGGCTGAAGAAAGAATGTTAAAGCCCACTTCCCGCCCTGGAACCGTCGTGGACCGAGGGCGATCATGTGTCGCAACAACGGCACTCCCAAACAGAACGGCTTCATAATCGGCGGGCGGAGTGGTCCAGTGGTAGTGGTGTTGGTGCTGGTGCTGGCTGGGTTACAGTCGAACTGGGCGCCGTAACGCTGATTTTAGCTCGTGTGGAGTGCAGCAGCGCCCTTTGCCGTTTGTGGGTTGACGCGGATAATGACGTTGAAGATCGCGAAGATTGGGCCTGGCGACCATTGGCTTGGTCTTTTGCAACGCCAGACGGCCGAAGTTGCTGAGTCGACTACGGGATGGGGTTTTCTTAGTGGACGGTTCCTGGTGT